ACGAGAAGGGCATAGGTTTTGTCTCATCACTCCAGTGAATGCTGGCATTCATTTAGCTCTTCTGGGTGGGTAAGAAGGAAACATTCTTTAACTGAGTATGGCTCTTGATCACATGTGTATCACATAAAGTCAAAAGGTTACTTCTATATCTAATCTAAACCATATGATCTCTAACAATAAATAAGCTTAATTTTTTTGTTTTCAACAGATCACAGGACTCTTTTTTAAACATTTATCAATGACAACCATTGGTAAAGTGAAAAAGCCTTTGGCACATTTGGGAAACCCATGAAAAATTGTCTTTATAACCACTTCCTCAAACTAAAAATAACAATTTCTCATATGAAAGATAACTATACTAATGCTTCAAGGATACGAACATAAATTTTGATAACTTCTAATGGGACACACTGGGGAGGTCATACTAAACTCTAACTAGTTATATTAGTAAAATCATTCTAATGAACTGTCTCATATTTATGCTCAGAGTTGTTTAGAAATATTTCTAGCTGGCCCCTTATATTACCTTTGACCTAGGCAGCTGTTTAAAGTAACATGGTACCTATTACCATTGTTCTTATTTTAACGTATTGGTCTGGAAGGTCCCTCTACTGGAGCAGATTTAACAATGCAAAAAGAATTAAAATATGACCACTAGTTTTTTGTTTTCCTACAATTGATATGAAACTTGTATATATTTTAAATTAGGGAAATTTAAAGACTCAAAGACTAGCAACTCTACACCCTTCTAAGTAAAGCTATTCTTTCTCATTATCGTAGGCAAGGAGAGGTGGGGGAAGGCAATAAGCAACACACAAACAAGCATACACGTTCCCCCCTCTCACCTCCCACATTGGCTGTAAGTTCCATCAAATCTTTTTCCATTTTTAATAAGCAGCAGAAAAATGAATGATTATAATATCCTTTTCTATATTTATTTTCCTTTGTTAGTGAAGAAAGTAAAAGGTGGTACTGGATTAACTACTAATATATGGCTCTGAAGAATTTATTAAGAAATTGCTAAATTTCCAATGCCTAGGCTCCTACCAATATATTAGTTAAAATACTGACGTATAAGGTATACATGACTTACTACTTTAAAACAGAAACAGCCAGAAGGGGTATATTTTTCCCTTATACCAAATTTCAATTAAAAACAAAAATCTGAAATGAGTTCATTTTTAAATTACTTTAAACTTGAACTTAGTTCTCTGTAGCACAGTCAAATCATGAATATTAAGATCTTGGGTCAGAAATTATAAACTATTTCAGTAATTTAGATTTTATCATCTAAATAAGTAAATCTAAAAATCTCGACTAACTAGCAATTCTAATTGGTCATTTCAAAAATTGAGGGCAATTTAACATTAAGAAATTTAACATTATGAAATTTCACATTAAGAAATTTCCAAGGTATAAACTAATTTTAAGTCATTCCTACTTTATAATCATAACAAGAAAAGTGCTATTTCATTAAAGTGTTAAAATAAATACATTAACAATATGTAAATGTTAACCAAAAATATGTAAATGTTACCCCCAACTCCCATTATCAAACAATTTATGCTCTTCATGAATAGACTCTCGCTCATCTTTTGGCTTCTTTCCCCAACTCTACATCTACCTACCTCACGTCCACTCGCTGCAGACTCATTAAGTTCCTAGAAGCATGTGGCTTTGAACAGCCTCTTCTGCCTTGAACACCCTCCCCCGCCTTCCTCTGTCTTTAGGACTCAGTTCAAATGATACCTCCTTTGTTAAGTCTTCTCAACCGCTGCAGTAATCAATCTCCCTGCAGTGTTCCCACAGGATTTGTACATCCATTGTAACATTTATCAAAATATCACAAATAATTTGTTAACATGTCTGCCCCCACCTACTTCCCACACCAATATATACATACACACAATACCTTCATTTGCATTTTCAGCATCTAGGTGCTTAATATTTGTAAAGTTACAAAAGTATTTTTGAGGGTATTTTTTCTCTTAAGCCCCATCTACCGATTTCTCTTTTTAAATGTGAGAGTTGAGGGAAAACACTGCAATGTCTACACATTCAAAGCGTATCCTACCCCTTATAACTCGAGTTTGTTAGACACTTACTCAAAATAATTAGATCAAGAAGACCATTTCTAAGGTCTAAGGACAAAGAGTACTAACATTGCACAAACCTAAGATGGTCAAAAACCTAACATATTTTGAATTTGCTTTAAAGTAGAAAAGAGCAAAATAATATGAACTGCCCTTGAAAAGAATGATCATATGCTTATCAAACACTCAGCTTCATTTTGGCATTTAATTAAGCCATTTATTGCTTCAAATGTGTCACCATGAACACTTAATATACACTCCACACCAGTAAGGCCTCAATTTTCACCACCTATAAACTGTGAACCCACATTTGGATTTTTTGTGCCACCGACTGTTACACAAGTTTTGTACAACAAAGATTTTAAATGTGTATTGTATAATACCAAAAATACTTACACCTCTTGGTGTAAATGTCACAAGGCTATTAATAGTTGGCCACATTTTTTTTGATGAGGTAGTTTCATGTTTGGGTCATTATATGTATCTCAGATACAACAGGTTCTACCCATTTCTAAATACTTGCACAAAATTTTGGTTTACTTCTTTATACATGCTTCATAAAATATTCAGTGTTTGAATTTAAAATTTGTCAAAGTGATTTCTCAGTTATTTGGTAGGAAGTGGAATTCACACAATGAAAGAAGCTGTAGCAGCTGGAAAATAGGGATGTTCCTGACTCAGACAAGGAAATTTCTCTTAAAATAAGGCTATATGTAAGGCTTTTTCCTTTGACCAATTCTTATAAAATGAATGAGCTTGGAGAAGTGATAATATATAATTAGAGGATGTAAATGATATATTTGAGCATCTCCAGGTAACATACTAATAGCTAATTGAATACTATGCTATATATTACTTCTTAAAATGTTTGTAAAATCTCCATGAAAATATTGAGTATCATGAAGTCATGATACTCATGATATTATGAAATTATGAGTGCCCACAAATGACCCTAACGTGTTTTAGGCAGCTGTCACAGTTATAAACTCAGACTGCAGCAGCTCAGAATCATGGAATCTCAAAGCTGGAAGAGACCTTTGAAATCCCCTATCTACTCCATACCCTTTGGGTAGCATTGCATAGATTTTACACTGTTTCTGAGTAAGTTCTAAGAGGCTCATAAGTGGTTTTAATTAAAGTAGAAAACTGATGAACTCAATAAACCTCAATATAAAAGAAATATGATGTAATAAGTTTTAAGGATTTTTCTATAGACCAGACTTGATATTATACTTTAAATAAAAAGCATTTTTATATGCGAAATTTACAATTTAAATAGCGTCTATAGAATAAAGCCTTGGGAGTGCTTTAAAGACATCCTGTAGCCAGCATCACCCTGGTTAAAAAAGGCCCAGACTGACACAAAATTTGAATTGTCATACCAGCATGTGGTAGAATCAAAAATAGAGCTGAATTTTGAGCTCAAATCCAGGGGGGATCTCTTTACTCAACTTGGCCACACTGTCTCCAGTCAAAACCATTATTTTCAATTTATCTCCTGTAATTAGACTTCTTTCACATACCTTAAACTGAAGGAAAAGCCAGAGACATGTTCTAGGAAAATAAATTGGGATTTTAAATTTACATTAAAAATGACTTTCTCTTATTTTCACATCACAAATTCCAAACATTATTAAAGAAATCACAGATTACACAGCATTCTGTGTCCTGGGCCTCTGTCCTTTTTAGGTTATGAAAATTGGAAATTAATTAGAATTAAGAAATTTTCATTATTAAGTATGTGAAGTATAAATACAAGTAATTTTTTAAAAACTTTATTTTAACACCTAATACAATTCCAATTTTAAGGATTACTTGCACAAAAAAATAAACACATTTGGTATAAAAATGTATCACTTTAACACCCTTTCCCCATCAGCCCCCCACCCCCACCCTCATGAACTGCACTCTATCTGGATGCAGAAACATATAAAGACTAATGGCACAAATTAGTTTTTACCTACAGGAGTTTCTGTTTATGTACCCAGGTACTCTAGAGGACACCAGCCCACTTTATCACATGAACCATTTCCTTCAGCCTGCTGAATTAGTTTCACAAAGAAACAAAGCTTATTATAAAGGCATTTTAAAAACCATTATCTTAAATTCTTTTTAGAAGCACTGACTTTTTTTTGCAACCATTTATATACAGTATTACATAACAGCTCTGGAGTACAGTACATGCAGCAGAATATACCTGTTGAATATAAAATACTTTCCTTAAAATCTTCATCGTTGGAATTCTTTGAAGTCTAAATTATAGAATGCCCATTACTTTGAGAAAATGGTTGAGGAGTACAAATGTCTGCATATGTTGGCCGCTGAAATAATCCAAGGCTAACTGGAATAATATTCATAGCACACCAGGAGTGCATAAATAATTTACTTACATTATTAAAATACAACCCATAAAATTCAAGTTCAAGATCTTACAGGATTGTCTGTGTAAATCCTTTAAGTGGTTGCCTGGAAATGCGTTGTTTCTTCTTTCTCTTTTCTTCTTTCTAAAGTCTTATATAAAATGTTTAGCTTAAGTATTTTTCTTTCTCAAACAAAAGGGCCACCTTTATTTGTGTCTGCTGCCTCTTCTCTTCATTGCGGCAGTGCACTGTGGACAGTACCATTTGCCTTTTGGTGCTTCTGTCAATCCAACACAGCCATAATGGAACCATTCGATAGGGCACTAGAAAGCAAAAGTGCAAAGAATGCCTGAGGTGATGAATACCTCAATTACCCTGATTTAATTAATTCACATTGTAGCTTGTATCAAAACATCACCATACCCTATAAAGATGTACAACTATTATGTACCC